GATAGATGCAAGCCTTGCAACAGGGGCATAAGTGTCGAAGTAGTCGATGCCAGGTACTTGTGAGAACCCTTGTGCTACCAAGCGAGCCTTGAACTTGACTATGCCTCCCTCAGCATCCTTCTTGATTCGAAAGACCCACTTCGAGCCCACGACATTTGCTCCAACTGGTTTTTTGACGATTTTCCAAGTCCTTGCAGTCTTTAATGTCGCAAGCTCTTCTTGTATTGCATCTTCCCACAAAGGCCAATCAGGCTGATGCTTCGCTTCAGCTAGACTGTGTGGCTCTAAGGCTTCTGCATCGGCTGTTGAAATGGCCATGGCATACTCCTCAAGGAAGTCAGCATCCTCGAGTATCATCAACCAATCTGCCTCTCCTTCTCCCTCAAACTCGAGAGGTTCGTTGTTTTCATTGGCAACTGGTAACTGAACACCAACAGGTACCACAGGATCGCTTGGGCGTGCTGATACACTGCCTTTGCCGGAGATGAGGTCTAGCACCCGCTGGCTAGGCTTTCGAGTGCGTCCGGAACGGGTTTCTTCAACTATGGGTTGGACTGTAGGCTGGGCTTCGGGGGTAGGTGACACCTGTGATGGCTTTGCAGTAGGTGGATTGGGCTGAGTTTTTGGCATTGACAGAATCTTGTGTAGCTCAATGTCTTCCTTCTCTTCAAGATTGTCAGTGGCAATATGAGTTGTGTCGAAATAGACATTTCGCTCGATGGACACCGTCTTGCTCTCTGTCCAGTAGACATGGGATCCATTGCTTGTTTCGTCGAATCCAATCCACTGACCTTCACGTATGCAGCCACCCAGCTTCATAGCCTTAGTCTCAAGGCGTACCCAGCATTTCTCTCCCCATTCCCGCAACCCTTTTAGATCTGGCTTCTTCCCTGTGACAGCTTCATAAGGAGTCATTCCATCTAGAGCCTTTGTCGATGTTCTGTTGAGGACCCAGACAGCATGGCGAACAGCCTCTGCCCATAGGAAGCGAGGTAAGCTGCTTGAATGCAGCATAGCCCTGACTTTTTCGATAACTGTGCGATTATACCTTTCAGCCACCCCATTGTGCTGTGGCGTATCATGCACAGTCATCTTCGTTGCCGTGCCGGCATTTTTCAGATGCAAGACAAACGCTTTGTTGAAGTATTCACCTCCATGGTCTGAATGGAGGATTTTTACAGGGCGGTCATGCTGAGTGCGGATGCGAGCTTCATAGGCTTTGTACGCTGTGAAAGCTTCCCTCTTCTGGTGTAAGAACTCAAGGTAAGCCCAACGAGTGCTGTCATCAATGAAAGAGATGAAGTAACGGCGTTTACGCAGGGATTCTACAGGTGCAGGTCCCCATAAATCAGAGTGAATTTCACCTCCAATATCGGTTGCACATTCTCCCCCTCGAGCCTTAGACACTGGCTTTCGTGTAGCTTTAGCATAGACACATGACTCGCAGAACCGTGGTTCTCCAGATGACTTGTCGAGCTTTACTCCGGTCACGAAGCCTTTTTCAATCAGACGGCGAGCAACTTCAGGTGAAATGTGGCCCATGCGGCGGTGCAATTGGTCTAGAGTAAGCACCTCCTCAGCTGTCCCAGCCAAATCTCCCTCATGACGAACCCGATATAGGCCACCATCATCTTTTGGGACAACCCCAACGACCTTTCCATCTGGTGCATGGATGGTGCATTTTCCGCCACCGAAAGTCAACTCGAAACCAAGATCGTCAAGTTGGCCAACTGAAATGAGTGTATAGCCAACTTCGGGAGAGTACATGACCTTGGTGAGTTGCAGATTGCTCGCATTTGCACCATTTGGCACTTCAATGCTCATCATGCCCTTTCCAGCTGCAGAAAATTTTTGAGTGTTCGCAGCACGGAATGCCTTGGGCGGGACAGACTGGAACGAGTTGAAATCGTCGCGGTAAGGGGAAATATGGCGTGTACAGCCGGAGTCGTAGAGTTCAGTACGAATTTGAACATCGGGTGAGTTTACAGTGTTGGTAACGGCTGCGACTGACTCTTCAGAAGCAGATACATCCTCCAAGGTCGGCATGCCAGATGTGGCATCCGATTGCTTGTCAACAAAGGAGTTCACATCACTCCGGTCAACATCTGAGGACAATGCGCTGTTCAGCTCATCCCACGACTCATCACCAACCTCCGAAAAAAGGTCGGTACCATCGTCTTCATCCCCCGAGTCCTCTGATAAGCCCTCAACTTCAGACTTGTCTGACTCAGAAACTGCAGCCAGCGACGGCATGTCGCTAGCATCATCAACTCCGAATGCACCGCCGGCTTCCCAGTCCGAATCCGACGATTCCTCAGCCACATTGGCTATTTCACCCTTCGATCCAGAGGCCTTGCTGTCATTGTCTGA